TTAAAAAAGGACTTCTTGTTGTCCTTAATCCGGGAAGCCAGCCCCTGTTCCATCTCTGCCTTGGCCTTCCTAACCATCCCCCTACATCCCCGAGCAACTGCAGAATAGTCCTCCTTAGTGATGACCCCTCCTTTCCATTGGGAGTAAGCCTCCTTTTTGGCAAGGAGACATTCCCGGATGTTTTTAGTAAGCCACGGAGGCTTATATGCTCTCCTGCCCCCTTTGACCCTCCAGGGGATTACCTTCCTCTGGGCCTGGAGAATCGTCTCCTTAAGTGGTTTGCATTGCACAAAACTGCACCCAAGACTTTTTGATCCTCCCGTAAGATACCATCAGAGAGGCTGTCGTGAGGAGACGGCCAAGGTGGAAGAAGGGAACATATCTATAGCTCGATTGAGTAAAGGAATGGGGGGGGGGTTGTTTTTATGCAGATTAGCAAAACGAGGTAAAGGTGGGCCTCTCATAATCTTTATCTTGACTGCTGACTTGTAGGAAAGCAGCAAGCTGCCTTCCCCATCTCTAGGATTTTGCCATGGGTTAGTTGAACTGAGTTGTCAGTGTGCCTCTTTCTCCCTAGTGTTGGCTGGGCTGTGCCAGCGGTCCCGCTGGTACTTAAACCCAGAGATTCCTGGCCGGAAGGTCTTGCCACTCCACTTGGGGTCAGACTGAGTATACGTCTAGGTTGCAAACTAGATTGCAAAACGATCTTGAGATGTTCTGTAGCTGTTTGCTCCCGTCGTGAAACAGAGCACCACGTACTTGAGTACCACTGGCGTTTTCTGCTGAAGAGCGGGTAAGGCTGGATGGGCCGGGTCATTTGCCAGCAGACCACCAGGCCTGCAGCCCCTCAGTCTGGTGTTTCAGTCTAGGTGGGGAAGTGCTTCAGTTCTGTTTGCTCCAGATTCAGCGGTGTTGCTCCTAAGACATTAGGCATGTTGAAATGAGCTGTCAGAAAAGCACCTCAAAGATGCTGGTGTTGGATTCAGGAATGCTCAGTCTCGCCGGGGCTGGACTTGATGATCTTCAAGGACCCTTCCAGCCCTAACGTCTATGAATCTTTTTTTTTTTTTATGAAGAACTGCTGTCATGGGCAGGGCATCAGTCATAAAGCTGAATGGTCTTCATAATATGCATAGAAGCATTTAGGTTGCATATTTAGCATATGTCTGTGCTTCCTGTATGATGACTGTAGGAACGGCACTGAGATGTGTGCCCTGCCAGGCCTGCCAAATGCTGGCAATGAGACAACAGTGCATTTGTAGGCCAGCCATAAGCACACCCAAGGCATGCTGTGCATGCATGCTCTGCGCCTCTCTGCAGTGGCACCGTTGCCTTGTTCCCAGCATTTGGCACATGCAGACGGGCCCCGTGCATCCCAAATTCTGCCTTATTTTTAGTTGCTAATTTTCCTTGGAGAGAAACAGAATGGCTGACAGGTTAGTTGAGCTACTTTCCTTCATAGGCAATAAATCATGGGCTTGTACAAACACATTCTCAAAAGCCTTCCAGAAGTGCCACGTTCCTTATTATCCCTGTGCCTTTTGG